CATAATATAGAAAACAATCTAGATAGGAACCTGGCAAAATCCTGAACAGGATCCTGTCTGACCCTGAAAAATCCGAAAAATGATAACTTATAGAATTTGAGACAGACTCTCGACGAAAACTTGAGAAAATCCTTCTAGAATTTCTCAAGAAACGAACAGAATTGAGACTAGGGAGACTTGTTTAGCTACAGCCTGCTGGACCAACAATCAAAGTTTAACCTAAAGATTGTTTGTATGAAAAGCTCGTAGCACTATTCCTACAAGATTAAAATGTGAAATACGGTCGAGTTGCTCACATAATAAATGAGAGAATTTACTAACGGGTCTGCCATTGTCAGCGAAGGATCATTGTTTGGATCTCCATCAAGGTCTGTGCAACGCGACGGCGACAAATGATGCTTCTAAACTTCTACCTCTATATATTTCAGCACTGCTTTTCAATCATATTATTAAAGCATCTAATATTCGAATTCGAGCCTTAACTCTAAGTTTTATTATTCAGTTTGACTTCGGCTCCTCTAAAGCGTGTAAATGACTTTAAGAAAGGCAGGATATAATGTAGCGAATAGAGGTCTTGACGAGGTGTGTTTATTCTCAAATAGTCATTTTCGAGTGAAATTTTCATTAAGAGTGGCGTGTTGTGAACCCATTGAGATGATATTTGGTTCTTTTATTAAAAACGTTTAAAAAAAAATGCCTTAGCTTCAGTCCTATGAATGAAAAGTTTGAATATCTACCGATTAATAATATTTTCGTCTTACACGATGGTTGAGACAGATTCGAGCGGAATTCATTAGCATCCACTCGTGAATGATTCTGTTTATTTTCGTGAAACATGATCTAAAAGAAGCGTTGAACTGAATATGGATAGCAATTTGTATCGTTCCCACCTCCCCCACCCGCCCAACATACCACGACGGCATAGTCACGAAACTGAGACTTATTACGAGATTATTGTGATGCACGATGGCACTTAATACGTCTGTCTTTGGTACTCTTCCGACATTTACTGTAACAGTATATGGTTATTCAAACACTAACGTATATGTTGAAGAATCCTTTTATTTACAATATAAGAAGATTCGTCGTGTTGCATTTTTTAATCCCACCCACAGATGCACCGATATGATTACAACTTGTAACGGCCCCCTTCAACAAAAAACTCAACCTCTATCGTACTATATCATAATGGGACGGGCTGTAACATCTTTGAACCCTTGCAATGGCATGTAACGGTAGGAAAAGACTTGTAATTACATCACGTTACAAGCTATTACAAGTTTTAAGAACATATAAACCCCTTAAAAAAAATACAACCCTAGAATTCATGTAACCTCTTGTAACGTCATGTAACGGCATGCAATGACTTGTAATCACACCCTGTTACAAACCGTTACATACCACAACAACATATACCCCCGAAAAAAATAGCTGCAGTTCGTATTTCAGTTAAATTGTTACCACAAAAATATATTTTTTTAAAACTAATTACAGATGTTGAAAGCCCGTGGAGATTTCTATCACCCGTTATATACACATTTTCATTTGCATTTATGTATTACCAAAAAAAAATCAGTACAATGAAGGCACTCTCATGTCCAGATTCCCATAGACTTCAATTTTTCACTATCATCAAAACTAGTTTCTAAAATTTTTCAGCACTATAGAATGGCCTTTTTGAAAAAGCAATTATAGATTCTGATAGAGCGTGAAATTCTCAATTACCCTATCTATTTATTTATTTTCTTGCATTCATAGATTGAAAAATAATTTAAATATAATGAACATTCTCTGAATCGACAAGTACCAAAAATCTGCATTTTTTTGTTTTTTTTTTAATTTTTTTTTAAACTATTATTCTCAAGAAATTAATTATAGAAAAGAACTTATACCATTCGATAGTGCATGAAATTCTCTATCATTCTACGTATAATTATATTGTCCTGAATTCGTTTTCTATTATTGAACAAAACACGACCACGTCCTTCTCGTTCAATAACATTATTTGTTTCACGAAATAATTGTAAAACAGAACAACATAAGCTATTTGATTTGAAATCAAACCTTGATCAAAACTAACGAGATAATTCGCCATCGATCATCAACAGATAAATGATCACTCATTATTAATGAATCGTATTGAATGTGAAGCAAAAAAATCAATGAAAATCTGCTTTACCTACGTGTTAATGACTCTATCTATCCAAACGCACGTGTTATAGAGTAGACAAATGATTTTTTTTAGAATTTTATGAAGGACAATGTACATTGATACATAAAATGATAGAGAATTTCATGCACTATCGAATGGTATAAGTTCTTTTCTATAATTAATTTCTTGGGAATAATAGTTTAAAAAAAATTAAAAAAAAACAAAAAAATGCAGATTTTTGGTACTTGTCGATTCAGAGAATGTTCATTATATTTAAATTATTTTTCAATCTATGAATGCAAGAAAATAAATAAATAGATAGGGTAATTGAGAATTTCACGCTCTATCAGAATCTATAATTGCTTTTTCAAAAAGGCCATTCTATAGTGCTGAAAAATTTTAGAAACTAGTTTTGATGATAGTGAAAAATTGAAGTCTATGGGAATCTGGACATGAGAGTGCCTTCATTGTACTGATTTTTTTTTTGGTAATACATATATGCAAATGAAAATGTGTATATAACGGGTGATAGAAATCTCCACGGGCTTTCAACATGTGTAATTAGTTTTAAAAAAAATATGGTTTTATGGTAACGAGTTAACTGAAATACGAACTACAGCTATTTTTTCCAGGGGTATATATACCACTGGAAAACCTAGGATTCAACACTTCATGTAACGGCTTGTCAAGTCGTGTAACGAGATGTGATTACATGTAATTACATGCTCTTACTAGCTATTACATGGTTTAAGAAGTCGTTAGTGGTCTTACCTCCCGATATATGGATGGCATATCGAGGAGATCCGAGTTCATTGGTCGATGGCCGGTTACAATTTGTATTTGTATTCATACACTCCTCATCCAACCGAAATTCTGCTCACATCGTTTTGCATAACATACATGTGACTACCTTATACCTTCGAATTACAATGCACATTACGCTAAAGATAAAAACGTACTTCATAAACAATACATACACGTGCGCCTAATTTCTTCTTACCTTTGTTACTAATAATGAAATGAATTCATATACATTACAAATAATAACGATTTATACTATTCGTTTTGCTTCTCGTCCCATCATAGCAAGAAAGAAAAAAAAAGACAACATGCTTGTATATGTTTACTTATACGGTAACGGAGTTTTGTTAAAGTTTTACAGACATATCTACTTTATAAAACGCTTCTAGCCACAATTCGTCAAGCTTCACCCCTTGAAAAAAGTAAACCTTGGTGAAAAAACTTGTTAGTGCAGCCCCTTTGGGGTTGAAATGTGGAATTCATATATCTTCTTTAGCTTCATTATACTAATACAAAATATAGACAGTGTAAAATTAAATTTTTTTTATTTTCTGTTTCTGATGGGCATCGTAGTTTTCGTTTTCATGGTTGCTATTCATTCGTTATTTTTCATTTTCATAATTCGTTTTGCTTAATTTACCATTTTGTGAAACACGATCTGAAAGGAGTATTGAAGTATATACGGTAGAAATTTGCCTCCTCCTAGATTGTGACAGAGAAAAGCCATACCCATCTGTTAGAGTTCTTTCCTTTTTTTCTTTTGTGTATATAAAGATGTTTATATGTGTACACTTGTACGAAAACTTTATTCAGAAAACATGTACTTAAACTTATATGTTAAAATGTATATAGAGCGAACGAAAAGAAATGAGAAAACGAATTAAATATCAAGAGAAGATGAAAGAGAATAGAGGGTAACGAAACGATACTCAATATGTCTACGTGCGACATCACTGTAACACATTCCCGTATTGGAAGAAAAATTGTGTCCTATCAACATTTTTATATAGTAACATAACGAACATAACGATATATATAATAATAAAAAGAAAGAAAATAAAAAAAACGTTCAAGTACAACATATGAACATAACAAATAATAGAAAAGCACACATAGGGAGAACATTCCAATAGAAGAAAACAAGTTTAATTAAGTTAACGAACGATCATCACATGTTCATATTAACCGGAATATACATATAACAAAAAATAAAGTAATAGATCATTTTGTTTCCATATATCAATAAAATAAGTGACGAAACAGTACTTCTTTCTCGATTCTCAGTGATCAAGTGAGGATCTGTTAAGAATAATGGAGCATTAAGTTGTATCCAATAATTAATTTCGTATAATGGAATAGTAAAATATTAATAGAAATGTGCCAAATGAAATATAACAGCCCTTAGTAATAAGTGAGTGGAGAAAAGTCACACTCCCGACCAAGCTATCCTAAATTATATTTGATCAGATTAATCTAATAATAAATACTTAGTCCATTTAATTTGACATATTCCTACATAGAATGAATCTCTTTATTAGAGGTCCTGAAACTAATAAATTCATTCAAATATTGGAAGTAACACGTCGGTTGTAACTTGATGATTTAATGTTGTTTTCTTGGCGTGTTGAACAATAAATGTTTTTGGTGCAAGTTTTTTAATAATTATATATCATCCTTCATAATGACAGTCGAATTTATAACGTATTTTGAGTGTTTTGACTAGTACTAAATCACCGATGTTGTGTGTTGAATCAGAACAATTTATGTCATAACGTTGTTTATATCGTTCTTGATTTTTAATAATGTTAACTTTGGCTTGTCCATTTAATTTCGATATAAATTGATTGAGTTTTTTCGCATGTTCAGAATCATATGGTAAAACAGGTGATCGACTGTACATCATTTCGAATGGTATTTGCTTGGTTGACGAATAAATTGAAGAGTTGTAATTAAATGTAACAAATGGTAATTGATCGTCCCAGTCGGTTTTACGTAAATTTGATAAAGATGCAATTTTTGCATCTATAGTTGAGTAGTATCTTTCAACTTAACCATTGGTTTGAGGATAATACGGTGTTGAATAAAGGTGTGTTGCTCCAATTTGTTTAATTAATTCATCCATTATTGTTGATGGAAAATGAGTTCCATTGTCAGTAAGAATACAACAAGGTGTTCCAAATTTTGATATAATATCTTCTTTAACAAATCTAACAGCTGTTTGAGCTTTATTATCACGAACAGCTTTTGTAACGATGAATTTTGATAAAACATCAGTAAATGATATAATATATTTATTTTCACGGTGAGATGTTGAACTAATAGGACCATAAAAATCCATTGATACTAATTGCCAGACTCCATCAGGAGGTTTGATTGGTCTTAAAGTACCAGGAATTTTTGTCGACGAGGATTAAATTATGCACATGAAATACATGATTTAATATAGTTATTAATATCTTTGTACATTGATGGCCAAAAATAACGTTGTTTAATTTTATGTATTGTTTTATTTCTTCCGAAATAAGTTCCATTTGCTGCAGTATCATGATATATTTGTAAAATTGTTCGTCGAAAATCACCCTCTAGTACATAAGACACTAGATGTTTTGATCGACGCATTACGAGATTATTTTTTTTATAATATAATTTTTATAATTCTCGATATTGTTCAGAATATTTTTTGCATAATTATCATTTTGTGGAGCTTGAATTAATTGTTCTATTGAAAATGGAAGTATTCGATTCTCTTTCATTGAAGTATTTCATGCTTGATTAGACGACGAAGAAGTCAGAGAATCTGATGTTAATTTTGTCGTATCAATTGGATCATTTGAAGTTTGGTTTCATAGCACGAGGTTGAACAGCTGTAACGATAGATGAATGATTATTAACATTTAAAAAATCGGTTTGTGTTGATGTTGAAATAAGATGTTTAATTTCATCGAGATCTTCTTCAGCATCATGAATTGGAGATCTTGATAAATAATCAGGCATAGAATTTGTTAAACCTGGAATGTATTTCACCTTGAAATTACATTCTAAAATTTTTAATCTCCATCGTCCACATCGTTTATTAATTTGAGCTTTTTGATTTAATTGTGTTAATGGTTTATGATCAGTTTCCCATATAAGTTTAATTACACTTAAAAAGTTATGCCATTGGTCTAATGCACAAATAAATGCATAACATTCTTGTTTCATAGAAGATCATTTACGTTGTGCTTGAGTAAATTTCTTGGAAAGATATGCGATAGGTCTATCTTCTTCTGGATAGATTTGTAATAAAACTGCACCGATTTCCTCATCTGAAGTATCTGTTTGCACTTTAAAAGGGAATCTATTATTTCGAAGTCGTAAAACTAAATTGGTTGTAAGAAATTGCTTAAATTGTTCGAAGGCTTTAATTTCTTCATTTATTAATATAATTATACTTTTTGTCCTTTCCTTTGTTGATTTCGTGTAGTTGGTACGAATTTTCTAAGTGATTTGGCGATTTGAGAAAAATTTGGTATAAATTTTCTATAATATTCAGCTGCTTTCACAAGTTTGCAAGCTTCATCTGAAGTTTGTAGTAATCTTGTATTTAATAAACCATTTATGTTATGAGGACTTGGACGAATTTCACCATTTTTTACATTATATCCAAGATAATCTGTTTGAGTTCGAGCAATTTCATATTTATCTGGATTAAGACGAAATCGAGCATTTTTAATATTGTACAAATGTCATTAAGACGTAACAAATGTTCTTCAAATGTTTTTGAATAAACAATTACATCATCGATATAAGCTAATGCATATTTCCATCTTGCGAATTCTAATATATGATTAATTACATGTTGGAATGTTGCGGGTGCGTTGGTAATTCCTTGTGAAAGTACAGTAAATTGATAATGATTGTTACGACTTGAAAATTCAGTTTTCGGACGGTCCTCTTAAGATAGAGGTACCTGGAAATAACCTGATTTAAAATCAAATTTAGTGTAATACATTGCATTGGATAATTCATCAAAAATTTCATCGATTCGAGGAAGTGAAAATGCATCTTTAATTGTAATAGCATTTAAACGTCGATAATTGATACAAAAACACATAGTATTGTCTTTCTTCTTAACAAGAACAATAGGTGATGACCATGGAGAAGTTGATTCTTCGACTTAACCACGTTCTAATAATTTTTGTGTTTCTGGAAATTTTATATCTTGATCTTTATGTGAAGCGGGATATTGTTTCGAATAAATAAGTGGATGATCACCAGTTTTTATTGCAGATTCCGGAGGAATATTAATAATTGAGGGTGTGGAATCAAATAATATTTTATTTCGTCATAATATATCTTGAATTGCTAGACAATGGTTTTGATTTTCTATATGTGCTGTCGATCCGAATATTTGATTTCGAATATATTCTGAATAACATTTTGTTCGTAAATGTTTTTATAGATCCTTACCAGATAAAAAATATTCGTTGCAATGATGACAATAATTATGTATTTTTTCTTGATTCGAGTTGTCTTTATTACATATGACAGCTCTGTCTTTTAATTTTTTTAGAATTTTGAGACAATAATCGACTTTTTTCATGTAAAAAAGAATCATATTGTATTGGAGCTTGTGTTGTTCTATATGTCGAATATGTTGCATCACAGGAAGTGATTCCGATTCGTGTATTTTTTGATTATGTTTGTTGACGATTTTGTGCATTTATTAGTAATACTTTTGGTTTATTTATTATTCATATTCAATAATGCATGTGGCAGAAAAATAAATTTTGATATATAACTTTCATAAGGTTCAAAGATCAAGTTATTAGTATTATTAACTTGACATGTAATATCAACTAATGTTTGTGAATGAGGTGGAAGAGTAATTTGATGAACTAATAGAGCCGGATAATTAATAAAAGTAGGCTTCATGTACGGGATTGAAATTGATTTACCACATTGATCTGGAATAGTTAAATGTTTCCGGTCACCAAACATGTGAACATGATTAACATTAATCCAGTCATTGCCTAAAAGAATCGATGTAATTAAATTGATTTCGACGTAAGCACTGATTGAAGTTGTTATATGTTTAATTTTTGTTTCTAATTCGATTTGAACGATAATATTAAGTGGTGTTGAATTTGTTGTTTGACATGCATGATTTTTATAAATAAAATTTTTATGATGAATGGTTTTAAGAAAATTTACATGAATGATTGAGATGACGACTCAATATCAATAATTTCTTCAGTTCGTTGGTTATTAACACGAATGTTGATGTAGATGGGAGATGATATTGTTGATGGCTTAATAGCTTTACTGCCAACACCGCCGACGTGCGACTCAGCTATTGAAAAGGATTCCGCCGAATTTTTTAGGGTTCTAGAACGGATATGCCATATATATATATGGTTCTGTAGGGCTTGTTAAGGCGCATCAAATGCTATATGGGAAATCAAGTTTTTCTCAAGTTTTCATGTGTTGGGGGGCCTATACTCTGTTTATAGGGCGTAGGAATCTATATGATACTCATAGAAACTGTGGGTTCTTATGATGATAGAGAATAAATTTATATGAATTTCGTTTTGAAACTCATTTCAATACAGTGATGGATGCTCTTCAATTTTTTGTAGTCGATAGTTTTTATTATTGCTTTGTTATAATGATATAGGGTCGTCTTCAAGAGCCCTACACTGAAAAAAAAATTGGTTTCACACGAAACCTTTTAGGTTCAGTAGTATCTTTTGATATTCTGAAAGTGTCCGTACGCGTCTACGAAATCTTTCAAAGGTTCCGTAGTAAAAGGAATTTCATATCATACTTCTGTGAGTTTTCAAAATCATGAAAGGTTTCGTATGGAACCATTCTAGGTTTAGTAGTCAAAAGGGTTTCGTATGATACTTCTGTTATTTTTCAAAATCATCAAAGGTTTTCTATTAAATTCTTACAGGTTTCGTACTAAACCTCATTAAAGTATCGCAACCGGAACATTCCACACAAGCGACCGCTTCTTAGCTTTACTTGCGACTCAAGAAAAAGTTAAACTTCATGAAGATTCATTCCCTGAAAGAATGCTGTTCTCAATGCCCAATTCACCTAAGCATGGAACAACTTTACTCCCGTCCATGCCATGAAAACCCAACACATCGCGCTACAAGGAAACCAGCTGTTAGTTTCGCGGGCAGCACATGCTGCTACATAGCAATACTATGGCATACATGCCAAGTAAACCGAATGTCATCCGGAGAGTACAACGTGTTATATGCAACATATAGTGATGCATGGCAATACATGCCAAGTAATTCTAAGGTTTTTCGCGCAGTACAAGGTTTTATATCGCACTACATGGCAATACATGGTAGTGCGTGGGGAGATGTATGATTTTCCGGAATACAATTTGTATTTGTTTTTGCGCAGTCCTCCATCAAGTCTTAAAAAATAAACATTGTTTTGTGATATTCATCATCTTAAATGAGATCTAGTTTGAACTACCTTATGAGAATTGTAAGTACAGCGTTATCCCCTGGAAAAATATTATTTGCAGCCTAATAATAAACGTTTTGATAAAGTCTTCATAAATCTTTCTAGGGTTTTTAAATGGCCATATTCTTCCTACAAACTCTTGAATGAGCCTTCGAAAGGGTTTATGAAGATGTCACATACAGTAGACAAGGTTCCATTATACGTTGCACTTCATCAAACCCTCATTAGCGTGTATTATTCTACGCTTTTTTCACAGTAATTGACGTTTAGACAAAGAAAGGATTCGAAAAAGAACAAATCAACACATGATAAGAAAGAAAAAGCTATGAATCAGATCCAATTCGATTTGTACGCAATCATCAACAGTTAAGTTCTTGTAAGTTTTCCAAAAACGTTTCCGTTATCTGCCTGTTACAATGTGCACTATTTTTACCGATCCTACGCCAATTCACTAGGAAAGAATCTAGCTAAATTTGAAAATTTTGTTTTCGCACCAATAAATCAACGGAATTGAAAATAGGCATGTCAGTTTTGTTTTTTTCTCAAAAACAAAATTTTGATTTAGCTGCTATCGTTCTCGAAAGTAAAGAAATCAGGAATCTATTTATTCCCACATGAGAAACAAACCGTATAGAGGGAGAATCTTTTCTTAGGAAAAAGAATGCTAAGTCACTTTAGAAAAAAACTCAAAAACAGCAAATTGTTTTATGCATTTGAAAGCTAGATTAGATTGATACGTTCAGCAATTCCTAAGTAACAAAGTAGTTTGTGTAGCAAAGTTTCCAGATATCGAATAAAGTAGCCAGAATTCGCTTGTTTTTTGCTACTTTTCTCCCTGAAGTCGAGAAAAAATGTTTTCGGTTTTTTAAACAAAATATGTGTTCTTACACTATTCTTCTCATAAACGAGTAAGAAAAAACTCGAATCTTCTCATATTCGAGAACGGTGGTTGTGATACACAAAAATTTGGTCTTATTGGACAACATGCATAGGCACTTTTTTTTCTTCAAAAAAGAACATTTCCTTTGATGAAATGTTTTTCTGAAGAAAAGAATTTTTCAAAAAAAAAGCAATGCATACTTATTGTTTTACTACAAGACATGGATTATCATTAGTAGAAAATATTTACTTTTACCTTGTATCTGTGGATAGATGTTGGGCTTGAACATCGATTTCTGCATATCTTGAGTTCGGGAAAAGATTTTGCTCCTGTTTCCTATCTAGGATATTGACTTTCATTCGGTTTTTATCTATAACCCACTCTTCATAACTGTCTCGATCTACACAAGAAGAGTACCCTAATTTGGATAAAAAGTATAGTAAATGTAGAATATATGAAAATATTCGTTATTCTTGTGAAACGTAATCATACATTTTCCTCTTTATTGACGTGAGAATATTCTTCAGTTATCTCACACTCATGGCTACTGTACCGGAGTTTTTCAATCTTGAGAAGGTTTGTATTTTCAATTCCAGATTTAAAAAATTCTCATACGTTTATATGCAGGATACAAAAAACAACTAATAGCATTTTAGATTCGCCCCTGTTTCTCTAAAATTCAGCGAGTCGGAACAACCTCGAGTTTTGTAATTACAAAAGCCATTCTAGGAAAGGAAAATCAATATTATTCTATTCAACTCAACATGTTCTATTCTCAGTGATGTAGAAAAAACGAAAGCAAACCGTGCTCAGGTGTTGAATTGTCATCGTGTTCTAGATTGTAATCCACATTCCTCGCTCTGCTCCAAGCTACACACATATACCTTTTTCAACAACTATAAAGGAATGACAAGTAGTATGAATACGAAAACGTCATTCAAGCATTACGGAGCGATACATACGGAGACGATAGACAAAGATAATCCTTCAGATCTCGCAAATTCATTAACTTCGACGACTGTCAAACGACTACAATTCAATTACCTCATCGGAAATATTTTTGCAGCAGGTAAAACTGTCAAACAATATAAGGTGCACTAATAGCAGAAATCGAGGAGAATTGTGATTTTGTTAAATCCTGCTTGGTTCAACAGAGTTTGATGCGCTGATTCTGAATATGGACTTCTTATAATTGTTTCGTCTCGGCTGCGGTGAAAAATCCTTCAAATACAAGCTAGTATGAAAACAAGAAAAATTGACTATTTAGAAAAACAAACCGCACAGTTTAGCTGTCTACCACCACGATATTTTCCCGAAATCAACTTCTTCGAATTCTGCATTAAATATTAAATATAAATAGGTTTGTTTAATGAAATTCAACTTCAGATCTTTTTCTGCGTAAAATCGACTGAGATCGTATCGGTAAGTATGGGTGTGTGCTGCTGGTGTGTTTGTCATGCCTGAACCCACATCCACATCCACACCCACACCCTCACTCCCTACGACCCCTCAGTTCTGTTTTATAGTAATTTTTCACGTGGTACCCCTCATGTTGAATTTAACCGAAAAATTTGTTTTTGCGAAAAAATATGTCATTCGATTCGATTTTTCGTGATGATCCTGAGTATCACATGTATTTGAATTAAGAATGGAGTTGTGATAGGCAAAATATCCGAATACGAGTGCATGTGTTTCATGTTCTACTGTTGACATCGAAAAACTCTGATTTTTCTAGTAATAATAAG